GAGTAAAAAGCATATCCATTAATCTTTGTAGAGTTGCAGGTGAGTTAGAGAGACCAAAAGGCATTACCTTGAATCTAAACATGCCTCTTCCAGGTACATAAAATGCAGTTTTATCTTTATCAGCAGGATTCAAGGGAATCTCCCAAAATGCTTTCGCAATGTCGATGCTTGATAAGAATTTGGCATTCTTCAGGTTGTCCAAAATTTCGCTTATTAGTGGCAGACTATAAGCATCACGACGTGTAACTGAGTTAAGCTTCCTGCTGTCTACGCAGAAACGCCATTCACCATTCTTCTTCGGAGTGATGAGAACTGGAGATAGCCAAGGACTTTCGCATTGTTCAATGACGTTCCATCCCAGCATCTTGTCAACTTCATTAATTAACGCCTTTTGTTTTTCAGGAGACAGTCTGTAACATCTTTGTTTGATTGGAAGAGAATTACCAGTATCAATCTTGTGGGTGATTAAGTGTGTGCTTCCCAGGATACCTTTTTCTTCAAAAGAAATTGTCTTGAAGCGTTGGATGATGTCGTTAGCGATGTCCTTTTGGTTAGGAGTTAAATGCTCATAAGGTAAAACTTTAATATCTTTAATTTCGATAGCAGAGCATTTAGATTCTGTAAAGTTAAGAGAAGATAAAACACTAGGTAACAGATTAAATTTTCTCCAAAAGTCAATACCTAGTATTAGCGAAGGAAATATTTCCGGAAAAACATAAGCTTTAATCAAATGAGTTTGATTATTGAAATGAACAGGTAAGTCAAAATAACCCAAGGAATTAACTTTTTGATTATTAGCAGTAGAGACACTAATAAGATCTGACTTGAAAAGTTTACAGCCCTGTTTAAGAATTTCCAAATGAGAATTATTACCCAGAATAGTTACTGAGCTGCCAGAATCTAGTAAACCAGATAAAGTTAAGTCATAAATTTTGACATTAACGAATGGACGATTAAGATCTTGTTCTTTGGAGTAGAGTGTAGAAGAGATTTTGTAACAAGAAAAGAAGTTTTGAATTGTTTTAATCCAACTAGCCCAATCGTCATTATCAAAGTTTAAGTTACTTTTCAAGTCAGCAGTTAGTTTTTTGAACTAGTATGTGGTTTGGGAGAACAAGTAGGGCAATCTGCAGTTTTAAAACCTTTAAGACCACATTTGAAACAAATCACGAATCGTGGTTGAGTACAAGTGTTCAAAGTATGACCTTGTTTACGACAGCGAACACAAAAAGAGCTTTCTTGAGGAGCTTTAGTTTGAGAGAGACTATTAACTTGTCTAGAAGGGTATTTGTAGGATGAAGTGAATTTATTCATAAAGGGAGGAGAAGGTTGTGAGTTATTAGAAGAATTTGAAGAGCCAACTGAACTTGAAGTGGAATGCTTGTAGTTGAATTCAGAAATAAGAGGACTTTGTTGTACATTTGGTTCTTTAAATTGTTTGTCTCTGTCAAGGAACTTTTCATAGTTTTGGCAAGTAGCCAGAAGAGAGTCGATAGAGTCAATGTCTTTTAGAGCTACGAAGACTGAATAACATGGGCGAATATTCCTCAAAATAATCTCCAATTGTTCTGTTTCAGAAAGTTTCTTCGAAAGACGAGTGAACATTCCAGACATGATGGAAATATAGATGACGATAGGTTCATCACGGCCTTGAGTTCGGTTCCTAATCGCTTCTAGAAGTTTATAATCATAATCAAAACCACCAAAGTCTTTGATTAATAAAGAGGAAAGTTCGTTCCAAGTTAAGTTTGGATTCTGATTATATTTAAATCTGAACCAATGAAGAGCATTGTCGGTGAAAATTTCAAATGCTTGAGAGATCAACAAGTCTTTGGATAAGCCGCGAGCTAAGCAGTATTCTTCAAGTTTTTGAAGAAAGGATCTTGGACAGCTTTTACCATTGAACGTGTGTCTTTTCAGATCTTTGAAGACGTTAGTTGGAGAAAAAGATTGAGGTAGTGGTGAAGGATACGGGGTATGGATCGTAACAGATGTTTGAGAAACAAGAGGAGGTTCCATGACAATCGGGTCAACAGGAGGGTCAAGTGATGGAGAGTCATTTTCAGTTGGAGGTGGAGTCAAGGATTCGAATTGTTTAGTAATAGCGTCAAATTTCATCTTCAAAGTATCGAAAATAGCTTTAAAGTCTGGATATAAGTCAGTATCTATTCGCTCCAATCTGTAAAAAACATGATTAATAAAAAGTTTCTATTAATCGTAAGTATTTGGTTTCACCTTGTAAAAATTTTTCAATTTTACAGTCCAGGTAAGTCAAAGTAGAACCAATTTGAGACAAGTCATCCTCGATCGGAATTGGAGAAGTCAGAATATCTTCAGGGTGAGAATTCTCAACTAAACGCAAAACCTGTTTTTTTAGAAGCAAAACAGTATTAGCTGGTTCCTCACATCTAATCTTCACTTCGTATTCGAGTTCGGCCTTGTTAAGGAATTCGTACTTAATAACCCGTTTCATTGTTATAATTAAGTGTTAAGTTTAAGAAATAAAAATTTAATAAAAAATTGTACCTCTAGAATAAAAATATTAAAGTGATGAATGTAAGTGAAGTGTTATATGTAGGTCTAAATGTAATCCAGATAAGTTGAAAAACTAGATGAAGTTTTGTTTTAGAATTTGGAAGATAGTACCTCTTTAAGTTCTCTAGAATAAAAATATTAAGGTGATGAATGTAAGTGTTATATGTAGGTCTAAATATAATCCAGATAAGTTGAAAAACTAGATGAAGTTTTGTTTTAGAATTTGGAAGATATGATAAGGATGAGTAAATAAAGAGTTAAGAACGAAAGAGAAAGCAATTCAATCAAAAGGAAATGGATAAGGCTTAGCTAAGGTGAAGAAAAGAAGAACTTTTACGTCGGGCCCCACGTTGGGCGCCAAATTGTCGTGAAGCGACAATTAAAAACTAAATAACCTAACCTAACTACAACAAAACAACCAAAAAATAAAATAAATTATTTAAAAATTTGAAAAGATTTACAGTTTCTTTTATAAAAAAAAGGTATGAAGGTGATGATGGGCTGTAATGATGATAGTGATTTACAATATTATTAAAAAAAATAACAAAAATAAAGATACTGCAACGAAGAATGCACAGGCTATGCCTATGATAGGTGCGCAGCGCCTGCTCTAGGTACACGCAGAATCTGGAGAAAGCACATGCAGCGTCTGGAGAAGGTACACGCAGCGCTTGGAGTAGGCCCACGCAACGCCCGGAGCAGATACACGCAGCACCCGGAGTAGACACGCAGCGTCTGGAGTAGGTACACGTGGCGCTTGAAGTAGGCAAACACAACGTCCGGAGTAGACACACACAGCGTCCGGAGTAGACACGCAGCGTCTGGAGTAGGAACACGCAGCGCTTGAGACAACCACGCTCGGCGGCCGAAGTTAGCGCGGGCACTAATAGGTGGAGGCGTAGGCGTGGCTAGGCGACGACTTCAGGAGAAGGCTTGCAAGATCCCGAGGCAGTGCGGATAAAGCCTTTAAGAGGTGCTTCTCGTATCAAAGCTGAAGTGAGGACCTCTATCGGCCGATTCTTCGGCTTTTATACTTTTTGACGGATCTGGGATAAGAACGAGAAATTATTTGAAATTATTTAAATTAAAAGCAAATTTTTGTAAATGGCCAAGAAGAAAAGAGTATTTTTGAAGTAAAAACATCAGGCCGGTAACAATATTTGAATAAAAATTGCCACGACAACCAGATAAACAACGATGTCAAAACATGTCAAATTTTGGTTTTAAGCTCGTAATACAGAAACGGCAAGATTTAAGTGAAAAATGAGATATTATTTATATAGGAAAAAAGGTAGCGCAAGAGCGCGCACGAAACCCGAAATTGTAGAGTTACGGAGAACTAAATAAAAGATCGAAAAAGGTAGACTCCATTGACACCGATTTAAAAAGTGCTGATAACGTGAAAATACGAAGTGAAAATGATTTGTTATTGTGTTCTTATGAATTAAAAATATTACAGGATCCTATGGAAATAAAGGTGATGCAAAATATCCAGTTTTGAGGTGAATGTAGAAAATCAAAAACAGAATGGAAAAATAAAAATAAAATAGTGTAAAATGATATGTAAGTATGTATGTAAGCATAACACTACAATTCACAACAACAGAGTACGAGCTCCTAGAGGGCACGCATTCCGAAACTTTAGCCTCTCACCGGATTACCAGCCCTCATATCTATACAAAACTCCAGCTATCTTCTGAAGTAAAATATTTAGGTTTTTTTTCCGTAAACTTAACTGGAATTAACACATAAAAAACAACACAGTCTTTCAGGCTAAATGTATGGGTAATATTCAAGTCGCCATAGCAATAGATGTCAGGAAGATAAATGACCTCCATGAGGATACTGACAGACAGCATGGTGGTACTACAGGGTCTGAATTGCAATATGGTGAATTTGGGGCTAATATATGAATGCCATTCAAGACTAAATGACGTATGTAAATATAACAATGTGACTCTACAATGGAGCAAGGGACGCAGTGGATCCAGGGGCAATGACGCAGCTGATGAACTGGCCAGGGGAGGATCGGGTCTGATCGCCATTGGGCCGGAACTGATCATACCGATTCTTCTTGGTACGTAAGCACTTATCAAAACGCTCAGCTTTGGAATAATCTAGGAGACTGTAGACAAGCTAGGGACGCGTCGTTTTACAAAGGTCTTAATGAGATTTAATAAGGCATAGATCAGGATTGTAACAAGTACTATTACAGGACACAACTCTTTTTACAAACATTTATTTACATTAGGTGTTATAGACATCCCCCTGTGCAAGGGACGTATAAGGGGGGAGGAAACGGTGGCCCACGTGTTGCTGGCATGCCCGGAGATTGCTGCAATATCAAGGGACTGCTGAACATCTTCGAGACTTCGAGATACGCGCTTAGACGGAGTTGAGGAAAATAGCCCGTCGTAAACTAAACTAACAATGTTACATATAATAAAAGCTTATGCATAACATACTTCAGGTGTTTTTCCTTCATTTCATTAAGTATTTTTTCAGCATTTTCTTTTGTTTTACAAGCCAAAGCTAAAACTCCATATGTCATAATATTGGGCTTTAAAGATTTTCTCCGTTTAAATCTTTTATCGCAGCTCTTATTTTCATTATCAATGAACTCCTTGATGAGCTGCAAAAAAGTAGATTCTACATAAATATCCTTTATTCTTGACTAACTTATACAGGATGTTTGGACTTGGGAAGATGGATGCAAAGCCTGAAGAGCACCTTAAACCATTTAGAACATATGTATTAAGCTAAACTTGTCTTAGACGAAATCTGCTCCTATTTTATAATTGAATTTCTAAGGTTTTTAAAAATAAAATCCATTTTTTTCAGTGAATTAAATTGAATTGCTAATAGCTTTCATTATTAGTTGTTATATTATTATTTTTTATTTATGTCTTCATCATCAGAAAAACATCCTACGCATAATTTAGTATAAGAAACCAAAAAAAAAATTAAAGAAATATTATTTATGTAAATATTAATTATTTAATTATGCCATCATAAAAAAAGCCTTTGAAATTCCAACCTTTTCAAAAACATGCTTGGTTATTGACCTTTCTTTTGAAGTATTATTTACGCAGATGCATTATCAACCCTCGGAATTAGGGTGAACAAAGGAAATTGCAGACGAATATTTTTAACTTTTAACAGACCAATAATATAATATTTTTTTATTATTATATTTATTTATTATATTATATTATATTATTTTTATTCATATTATCCCGACGAATTTACTCAAAATTACATGCATTGTTAGGTTGAAAACACCCAGTACACTAGAGGAAGCACTAAGTATAGTTCTAGAAGAAGTAAACTACTATGACCAATATCAGATGCGTAGTAAAATGTTACAGTCTAGCCATATGTCTAAGCCACAATCTAGTAGTATACCAGTACAACAACCATCGTTTAAGTTCGCAATGCCAACACAGCCTACAGGTTTTAAACCAATGTTAGCACCAAACCAACCCCCTAGGCAGAATTTCGGAACACCACCTCAATTTAAGTTTGGCATTCACACAAACACATGAAGATTCCGTTACCACAAAATAAGCCTCAACAGCAAATGAGTTTTCCTAAGCAATATCACCCACCTCAGTTTGGATACCGACCTAATTTTGGATACCGACCAAACTTTGGATTTAGACCCCAGGGCTATAGCCCCATGCAACCAATGTCACCACAACAGTTTGGTAATTCTCAGCGTTTTAATTATCCTAGTGATAATAATGTGCATAATAAGCCGGTTTCCAATGATACTGATGTTTCTATGAGAACTGCCCCTCCAAAGCCAGGTTTCCGCCTAAACGAATTAGAAATGTATCCATCATATTATCCCGACGAATTTCCTCAAAATTACATGAATTGTTAGGTTGAAAACACCCAGTACACTAGAGGAAGCACTAAGTATAGTTCTAAAAGAAGTAAACTTCTATGACCAATATCAGATGCGTAGTAAAATGTTACAGTCTAGCCATATGTCTAAGCCACAATCTAGTAGTATACCAGTGCAACAACCATCGTTTAAGTTCGCAATGCCAACACAGCCTACAGGTTTTAGGCCAATGTTAGCACCAAACCAACTCCCTAAGCAGAATTTCGGAACACCACCTCAATTTAAGTTTGGCATTCCGCATAGTAGACAAATGAGGATTCCGTTACCACCAAATAAGCCTCAACAGCAAATGAGTTTCCCTAAGCAATATCACCCACCTCAAATTAGATACCGACCAAACTTTGGATTTGGACCCCAGGGCTATAGCCCCATGCAACCAATGTTACCACAACAGTTTGGTAATTCTCAGCGTTTTAATTATTTTAGTAATAATAATGTGCATAATAAGCCGGTTTCTAATGATACTGATGTTTCGATGAGAACTGCCCCTCCAAAGCCAGGTTTCCGCCTAAACGAATTAGAAATTTATCCATCATACTATCCCTACGAATTTCCTCATAATTACATGTATGTGGAAACATACGACAATTATTATGAAGATGAATCCATACAAGAAAATTCTATAATAGAGGTCGACGGAAACAATGATTCAGAAGATAATGACATGTCGGCACAGACTGAAAATTTTCAAGTAAAAGCCTCCGAAAACCACCTGAAATAATAAAACTGAATTGCGACATAAATTTAAAACTACCATACATATATATACCGGAAATAGATGCTAATTTTATGATAGACACAGTAAGCACCCGTTCTTATATAAGCCCCAATAAAGCATACCAATACTACCGTTATTATATAACAAATGAAACCTTTGAAGTTATAAGCACTCATGCATCTAGCAAACACAATCAGGTAATTAAAATTCCACTATTTTCCATATTTCAAAGTAATACAAAACATAAATTTTATCTTTATAATGTCGATTTACGTTATGATGGGCTAATTGAGAATGATTTATTAAAGCAGTTGAAAGCTGTAATAGATTTAAAGAAACAAGTACTTACCTCAAATTCTTCTAGAATACCTATAATACACAATAGCTTAGATAATGTTTTAATACTCCCACCTCGAATTTAGAGCAAAATTATCTGCTAACATGTTTTATGGTGAAGGAATATTAAATTATACCCGATTCTGTGATAGAGTGCGCATGCCTTCTGCATTGGTAAAATGTGAGAATGGATATGCCACTACAATTATACAAAATACGTCACTTGTGGATCAACAAATGGAATTATCTATTAAGAAACCTTTTGAAATTTGTGAATATGTGGATGATAAATCGTATGTAAATTCTATAGATCACTCTGATCTAGAAACGGATCAGTTATTGCTTGAAAATTTTAACAAGTTACGCCTAAACCATATGAATGAAGAGGAAAGACAGAGCATTCGTAAAGCATGTGAGGAATACAAGGATATATTTTATTGTGAACAGATACCTTTGAGTTTTATTAAACAGGTTCACTTCATTCATACCAAAAACGAGGACCCTATATTCACAAAACCTTAAAGACAAGCCCCCGCACAAGTAACAGAGATAAACAAGCAGGTCGATAAACTTCTATTAGATAATGTAATTCAGGAATCTTTCTCCCCATGGAATTCTCCCGTACATCTTGTTCCAAAAAAGGCTGATGCTTCGGGCGTTAGATACAGAATGTTATTTTAATTAAGTTAAATACAGAATGGTCATAGATTACAGAAGGCTAAATGAAATTACAGTTGATGATAAGTACCCCCTTCCAAATATCGCAGACCTTTTCTATAAGCTAGGTAAGAGCACATACTTTTCGACACTCGACCTGGCCAGCGGCTATCACCAAAATTGAACTTAATGAAGATGACCGACAGAAAACTGCCTTCAGCACCCAAAATGGACACTATGAGTTCCTGAGGATGCCATTTGGGTTAAAGACAGCCCCCGCCACCTTTCAAAGAACTATGAATAACGTCTTAAGAGGTTTGCAAGGAATCCATTGCCTTGTGTACCTAGACGACGTTATTATCTTTTCCGCTAGCCTACAAGAACACAAGGAGAAACTCCGTACAGTTTTTGAGCGATTTCGAAAGACTAACATGAAAATACAATTAGACAAATCCGAATTTCCGAAAAGAAGTTTTATATCTTTGACACACCATAACTAAAGACGGACTGCGACCAAACGATGACAAAATTAAAGTAATACAGAACTATCCTCCTCCTAAGACAACCACCGAAATCAAAAGTTTCCTTGGGCTGGTTGGATACTATAGAAAATTTATAAAGGACTTTGCGAAAATCACGCAGCCCTTAACGGCGTGTTTAAAGAAAAGGAATAAGATATTTTTAGACCAGAACTATATAGATGCCTTTCATAAATGTAACTAAATATTGACCAGTGTCCCACTATTACAATACCCGGATCCGACTTAATCATACATATTAACTACCGACGCTTTAAATGTAGCTCTTGGTGCAGTACTGTCACAGGGACCAATAGGGTCAGATAAGCCTATATATGCCAGCCGCACACTTTATGACACCGAATCGCGATACAGCACAATGAGCGGGAAGTTTTAGCCATCATTTGGGCTGTAAAGCACTTTAGGCCCTACTTGTACGGACAGAAATTTCAAATTTATACAGACCATAGACCCCTTGCTTGGCTCTATTCCCTTAAAGAGCCTAACCACAAACTAACACGCTGGCGTTTACGTCTTCAGGAATACGATTTTACAATAATCTATAAAAACGGCAAACAAAATACCAATACTGATGCCTTGTCTCGCATAAAACTTAATGCTTTAGACGACGCATCAATGGATGTTAATGTGGATGACGATGACATACAAAAAGTAATATGCCAACTGAAAGAACTTGAAAAATACAGACCTGAGCCCCAACCAGAGACAGTGATAATTTCAGACTCAGACTCGAGTGTGACGGAACATGTAGAATTGTTCGAAGAAAATTACCCTGTACCATCTGTAACTAACAGTAGTAGAACAGGCACGATACACTCAAATATTGAACCTGAGTCAACAGCAATCCCAATTTTGAGCGAGGCAATAGATACCAAACCATATCAGATCCTAGTGTTTTCTTGGTTCCAAAATAAACTACAAGTTAGAAATTTATCTAGAGCAAAACAAAAAGTACTAGAGGTATTTCTCCCACTTGGAAACGAAGAATTAATAAAACAATTTTTAAAGGAATATATAAAATTTAGGAGTCGATACTTTATTTATTTCGAGAACGCTGAGCACAGGAAATTATTTACGAAAGTTATTATAGAACTCTTTAAGAAGGATGCAGTACAATTCTTTGAATGTACAGAACGCGTAGTATATGTGGAGGATGAAAAAGAACAAAAAGCTGTCATTCTCAAACACCATGAAGGAAAAACATGTCATCGCGGTGTGAAAGAAACTATGATAAGAAAACGCAGAAACTATTAATGGGAAAATATGCAAGACACTGTAGCTGCCGTTATAAATGCTTGTGAACCTTGCAGATTAATGAAGTACGATAGGAAACCAATAAAACCTGTACTACAACTCACATCCACTCAGGATGCGCCTTTTCAGGAACTATTTATAGATTTATTTACTATTGAGAAGTATTATTTAACCGTTGTGGATGCTTTTAGCAAATTAGGGCAGGCCTTAGAGATTGCAAGTCGACAAACCGCTGAAGTAGCGCGAGCATTAATAAAATATTTTTCTATGTACGGAATTCCTAAGAAAATATCATATGATCCAGGCACTGAATTTAATAACGAACTTATGCGTCAGCTCCTATGTATAAAATAGAAACTCACAACTCCCAATAACCCCAATTCGACAGGTATTATCGAAAGATTTCATTCTACTATAATACTAATTTAAATATACAGATAAATTGAAATATACAGACTTGCAAATTATGAGCATAAATGCACAGACGCTGCATCTGTCATGACATATTTAGTCATGGCGTATAATCATACTATTCATTCAACGACAGGATTAACACCCTTTGAAGTAGCACTTGATCATACCGATTCTGGTAAAATATTCGACGTAGATTTTGAAAAGGCATATACACAGCAACTCGTTAAAGACCACGCGAGACGAACCAAATACTTATATAGGTATATTTCCGAAAAAGTCCATACAGATAAAGAAAAGGTTAGGAAAAAGAAAAGCGGGGAATCTGGAATTGATTTTAAAGAAGGTGATATGGTTTTTATTAAAGATATTAACATAAGAAAAAGTAAGGATAAGCCTAGGTATCAAAAGGCGAAAGTGCAAGGGAATATTGAAAGAAACATAATACCTGTAACGATAGGGAAAAGAAAAACTAAAGTGCACCTCAAAAATGTGAAACGCCCTCCACAGGTTGTTGGCGATCTTCGTGAACCTGAATCTGATGATCCGGACCCAAGGCCTTCAACTTCTAAAGGTTGAGCATAATCCAGGCATGTTACCCGTAAAGCAAGGACAAGTATACAAGAAAGTAGATAAGTGGGTTATAGTTAAGAAGTTAGACTTTAGTAGCATAAAAGATGATTTAAATTTTAATATCAATAAATATAAGGAATTTAGCTGTTTAGTAGATATCCATAACCCATACGTAAATAAATTCCAAAATATGAACACACAAGTAAATTATTTAAGTAACTTAGCTGTAGAAAAGTTTAAACAACTCATATCTTCGATACGTTTCAAGCGCGGTCTTATTAATCCATTAGGTTCTGTTATCAAAGTGCTTACAGGAACTTAGACCACAATGATGCAGTAAAATACGACAATATCATATATCAATTAAAGACCCAGCAAACGCACACTAATAAGAAAATAACAATAATCTCGGAGATGTTTGACTCTCTCATAAATAGTACTGGATCTCTACAGGAAAATATGAAAATTGTAAATGAACGAATTTAATTTTAAGCAAAAAAATAATAGAAATGTATAGAAAGAATTGTATAAATATATAATTACTAAAGACGATAACAGTATATACTCCACATATGTTTTAAGTATGTTTAACATGTTTGTCAATAATTTTAGAACTATATACTTAATTTTAAGCGAAATAGAAATGGCATTAGCATTTACTAAACTTCACGTTCTACATCAAGCCATTGTTAATTCCACAGAATTATTAATAATATTAAAATCTATATCTCAAACAAATAGTTTATTGTATTCTATTACCGAAAACAATTTAGTTAATTTAGAAAGATGTATGCCTGTTAAGGCCTATGTAAAAGAAAACCAAATAACGATCATTATGGAAATCCCTCTGACTGATAATATTACATACACTTATTTTAAAATGTATGCTTTACCTATGTTTGATCCCACCTATAACAGAACAACTGTTATTTTTCCCAAATATCCTTACCTCATGGTGAAAGATCACATGTACTTACCCTTAAATGACCCATGTCAAGAGATAGCAGCAAACCAGTTCCTGTGTGAGGAAAATGATATCGTGCAGTATCCTGAATACACATGCATAGAACAACTTATGAACTTCGCATCAAATCTAAGCCTTTGTAAACTATCAATAGTAGAGCTGGAAAGTGTTAAAATACAGTCTATTGGTCCTATTAACTGGATCCTATTTACACAAAATGAAATAGTGCTTACAAAAACGTGTGGCGATGACACTCAAAGAAATGCTGTAAAGGGCATGTACCTCTTGGAAATAGATGAAAACTGTGAGATAAAATTAGGCAATATTAAATTACACCGGAAACGATACTATTCAGGAAAACTGCAATATAAGGTGACACCTATTTTAACTCTACTGAAATTGATAGAGCAGCCCACAAATGCAGAGAAAACAGTGAATTTAAATTGCGTTAATTTGGATGAACTAAAATACCTCTCATACAAACTGAAAAGTAAAATAGTGGAAAGTGAAAGTGAAATCTCAGTGAATAAGAAAAGTGTTAGTTTAGCTACTGTACTTCTCTATGTTATATTAGTTTTAATTAGCTTTACCACCAGTATCATCCTTACATGCTATATAAATACACTGAAGAAAAACATAAAATAATTACACCCAAAAAAAAAAAAATTAAAAGAAATTATAACTAAATACAAATAAAAATATATAGAAGCGAAAAGGAAAGAACATATTTTATAATATGTTACAAAAGATGGTCTCTTATTAGACTTAATATTGTAATTTGGAAAAATAAGTCTAAACTCTTACATTGTATGCAAAGTCATCGGAATCCAAATCTTGCCGATAACTTTGCAGTTGAGGAGGGAGGAGTTATGGTTACACCAGCACCACCCATAATACGTATAAAGCGTCCATCAGAATAAATACATAAACGCTGAGTATGTAGTAATTTAAGTAGACTGTAAGCATAGGATTAAGAATTGTAAAAGACAATGGTCAGAATAAATTCACATCTCACTCTGTGAACACGTAGTTTTAATTGTTTTTAAAAATCCCTCGGCAGCTCCCGCAACTTGACCAGTGATCGCTTTGCATAATGCAATTTACTGTCGCGCACTAACGCAGCTGCAACGTAGTGCCATTAACATCAGGCCTGAGTGAAGGGCTGCTAGAAGATCTACGCCCAAGTAAGTGCATATTCCTCCTTTCCTAGCGTGAGCTACAACAGCTCACGCTCCAACCCTCGCCGGCTGATATAGATTAGGTAATAGCAAGTGCAAAATCGGCCACGTACCACTTCCACCATCTTGATTCAGTTATAGAGAATAATGCATACAGTCCACATATAGTTAATCTCGCATAATTGATTTTGGCCTGACCTGAGAATCGAATTGAATTTGAAGGGGCAGCCTGTGGCTGCACCATATCCAGGTTCATTCAGGCCTGATAAGCACCCTAACGCCCCACTAAGCTCAAAAGAAAGGCCAATAACTAAGCATGTTTTTAAAAAGCATGGAACAACAAAGCCTGTTTTTATAATGGCATAAACACAACATTTACATAACTTTTTTAGGTTTTTTAAACTTAAATATGCGTAGAATGTTTTTGTTTGAGTAATCACACATTACTTAAATAAAAAATAATAAAATAAAAACTGTTACTGGACATTAGTATCAGCAATTAATTGGTTTAATTGTTCAAAACCTTAGAAAGTCAATTTAAAAAAAAGTTTAATATGTTCCAAAATGGTTAAAGGTGTTAGTATAAGGTGTAATATGTTCTAAACAACTTGTGTAACAATCCCTAATGCGTCTCCCATTACATTTTTAGAGCAGAGAATTCACTGAGGCGGAGTGTAACATAGACCTCTTATCTACGACCCAAACACAATTTTTATTACTATCTCCTCTGAAACTAATAGTCTAATCATTTTGTCACAGATAATCTACGTAATGTGACCAGTGCATGGATTCATTTTCATGTGTAATTGAAATTTTCTTATACACATATATTTGTAGGTGTATGTAGAAAATGTAGAAAGATAATATTAAGACTATAAGTTATTTAAGTAGTTATTTAAGTTTTAATATTTAAGTTTTTTACAGACAAAACTTGTTTAGTTATAATTATATCCATTTTTGACAAATAATTTCATCATCATTATCATTATTACAGCCCTCACAAGTTCACTACTGAACATAGGACACATACACTCCCTCAAGGAAAGGTCCTGAGCCACAGACATCTATCAACTTTCAGCATGTCTAATATATGATAAGCAATTTAATGACATGAAATTATTTATATATTACATATTATAATCTATTTCAACACAGAAGTATATTTGATTTACTTAAATATGTTTAATGTTTTGACAAGTGTATGATTTAGTGTTCCAAGTTCCTAACAACTATGCTAATGACCTGGGTTTGAATCTCATCTGCAGTTAACATTCAAACAAAAATAAAAATTTTGGCAGTTTAGATCATGAAACAATGGTCCCAGTATGTCTGAAACGGGCCAAGTATTATGTGTGGCAAGTTTTGAATTTTAGCACAAGAAATTTTTCAATTGATAGTATAAATAGATTAATATCATATCATAAACTTACAAAAGCACCATCATAATCCATTCGTATGCATCTTTTTTTTATGACCATGTTAAGAAAATCTATATCTGGTTTTATGTTCAATGATTTCATAGTCTCCATAATCTTATTTTCAGCTTCTCTAGTTTCCTCTATTAAAGGTAACATCTGTGTGAATGTTTTGATATCAGGTTTAACTGCATTTGCCTCCATTTCTCTTAGGAAATCATCTTGACCTCCTATTATTGCAAATTTATCTTGTAATGTGTCAACTTCTTGCAAAGATAATACTTGATTTAATTGTAAAACATTAGATAACAAATTGGGGATTGTTCGCTGATCATTTTGTTGTGTTTGAAATTCTTTTGGAAGAATTGTGATTGAGTTACTGTTTTGATTCTCTAAAACAGTTACACCTTTATGTACATCTTTAATGGAAATACAGTTATAATTGGCTTTGCTCTTTGTGTCATATGTTAATGGACCATATGTCTGAAAATTTTCAAGTTTTTCAAGATCTACTTCTGAATTAGTAGTATTTTCTTTTGTTTCTCTTGATTCAATCTGTAATCTTTTAATTTTATTTGAACCTAATAAGGTTTGGTCTTGAATAGACATGATCAAACTTTGTATATCATCTTTAGACCCTAGATTACAATCTTTGACACATTTAAGCATTAAATTGAAAGAGTAAATATTTGGCTTCTCTTTCATAGTTAACATTTTCCTCCAAACTAAAAGGGCATAGCGTAAGCCATTTTCTTTATCAGAAATACATGCATGTAGGAGATGGTTAAAAGTGTGAACCCTTATTTTAATTTTCTTTGAAATCATTTCATCAACTATTTTGAAAGCTGTTTTGAGATCACCACATCGGCCAAATGCTTTAATCATTACATTGTAGTTTGTAAGATTGGGTTCTATTCCTTTTTCAATCATTAGATCCCTTAAATGTTTCGCATTCTTTAACCCATCTGCAGGCCAAGGGCTGTTAATACACGCCTCAAACAAACAAGTGTATGTGTCGCCAGTAGGGGTTAGTGCTCGTCTTTTCATATCATTATATAACCTAAATGCTTTTTTAGTGTAACCTACATCTGCACACGCACCAATCAAAATATTGTAAATGTAATTTTCTGGTTTAACTCTATCTTCTTGTAACATTCTTATTTCTAAAACATTGAGCGCTTCTTTTAGACGTTTATGTTTTAAATATTGCTTTATTAGATCTGCATATTGTCTTATAGTTAATTTTTGAGATGGAAGGGGAAGATTTTGAAGATATTTTTCTTCCTTTAAATCACCTTCGTCAAATATATCATTAGATTGATTTTTAAGTTTTCCAGATAGAGTACCAAATGTGTCAGGATCTTCAAGACAATTCAAATTTTTTTCTGTCTTGCATTCATTGGACTTAAATTTGTTATTTTCTATAAATCTTGGAGCAGATGCATAATTTGAGTAAATACCGGAGCCAAATTTTTTACACTTTTCTCGTAGTCCTATTAGAAATATGTTACGAATAGCCATTACATACAAAACAGAACTTTAAAAACAAAAATACAAACAAACAAACAATCTTCTAGTTTATGAGTGGTTAATGAACATAAATTTAATATTTACTTTTTGTTTAATAAAGCACTTATTAAGCGTAAAAGAGTTTACTGACACAATTTTGGTAAATCAAATATTAAAATAATTCAATTTTCATATACATTTTTCACATGCAAATTTTAATTTTTATTTGATCACAGAACACTGTTACTCCTGTCTACGGTTACTCTTTCAGTTTATACAAAGGTACTCTGTGCTTTCAGTTTATACAAAGGTACTCTGTGGGTTACTCCTATCGGAGAACGGAGTTGTTAATTTCATAGATAAATAAAGTTAATTTCTAGTATATACACAGTAATCTATGGTTAATTTGCCTTGCTTTATTGCTTTGATTTGACATTTAAGAATTTTGACTTGGATGCTTGTCCTTTAAGCCATGTCTTCATTTGAAAACTTTTTCACAATATGTTGATACGTTACATCGTGAAGTTTTCGGGAGATTTTAGCGGCAGGTTGAATCAGTAGACGGTCGATTACGATAGTATTCCAAGGTGCCTAGGCCTAGGCAGACCCCTTATCTTGAGATTCACATCACCATCAGAGCACTTATTTCATTGTTTCACATTGTACATGCGCAGATTTATATTTATACGTGGTAGAGCCATGAAGCAGCTATATTATGGTTGAAGCACGAATGGGTCGGCTCGACTGGGGAAGGGCCACGCTCTCACAGAATATCAGTGTAAAATAACAGTTTAATACTGCTGTGTTTCCTATGGTGAGTGTAGAAATCTGGAGACCCTTTTTTACTGGAAATAAGGTATTCCATCTTAGTCCTCAGGGGTGACAACGCATCTGCGTTTTGATTCTTAATCGAGGATAAATGTAGATGTCTATGGGCCACAGCATCCACTTACCATCAGGTGGACTGTGTGCTCGTTTGTGATCCTTATTCTATAAAAAAATATATAAACAATAATAAAGGATCAGCAATCTGCGATCAGTTAAGTCCCCACTATAACTCGTTGATTTGACATAAATAAATAGTCGTACACAGAGAAACCTATTCTCTGTCTATGTAAATAGTTGTTGTCGAAGTAGGATTCTCTGTCTACAGTTGTTGGTGTATTTATTATTCGCTCAAGAGAGCAGGCAAAGGAGCTAAGCCATACAGCCTTTTCTTTTTTTAAATTTGAATATATAGAATTTTGAAGAGTAAAGGCCGGAACCAACTCTCATTTTTCTTCTTTCCATCTCTTCAAAGTCCATAAAGGCCGAAGCCAAGTCTTATTTTCTTTAATTCTTCATATTTTCAAAAACCACGAAGGCTAAAGCCAAGTCCTTTTTATATTATACGAGTAATCATTATAAGTTTCTATCCATATAGATTTATCAGTCCAGATTCAAGGTTCCCGCGTGTTTTTCTTTTCTTCACAATATGCTGATGCGTCACATTGCGAAGCCCTTGGGAGATTTTGACGACAGCTCCACCCAGCGGACAGTTGATGACGACAGCCACAAAAGTTCATAATGCGCCTAAGCTATCAAAATAACTTGTGATTTTGTGAATTAATTGTTTGCGCGTGTGAAATATTAGAGAAAACGACGAAACAAGTGCTTTGATGTCGATATAAACCTCATCACTTTTACGAATTAAAATCCACTTCAAACTATTATTCAAGCGACATAACAGGAGCGACAGTCACTCCTTGTCGTGTTGCCAAGTGAAGCTAAAAGAGGAAAGTGTATTGGATACATGGATGGCGGCCATGATCCTGATGATAATGATGATGGATCGGAGTTTTACATATAAGTTTATTTACGGATACATCGAAAATCCGATATTTAAAAAACATATCAACAGTTTTAGTTTGAACTGATCAGTTGAACTGACCGTGTGTGGCCACCATTAGAATGAAAACCTTACCTTTGTCTTCTTTGCATGCCTTAATCAATCCCTTTTTGAGAAAAAAAAACATAATTCCATCCATGCGCACTTTACTACGCAGTTAATGGCGGTCACTGGTAGTAAAGATTAAATTGATAATAATATTTATTTAGCATTATTCCTGTTTCTCGTGTGTTTATGTGTTTTATTTCATTGTAATTGATAAATCTGTGAAATGTGTGTCAAAGAATACATAAAATAACTCCTGGGTATGAGGTGATCGCAATCATGCTTCTATGTACTATTAAAATTTGTTTAAAAAATGATATTGTAAAGTGAAATATGTTTAAAATAAAGTCACGCTGGGTTTCTTGATGGTTCTTCCCAGGACAGTAGATCAGTGGTAAATAAAACACGATTTCCAATAAGTATTATGTAATAATCTATATTTAATTAAAAAATGTTCTATTCTCTGTAATATAAGATATTTACTAACTAGTAGGGATATTTTATAAAGAAATCAATTGATATTGTGCAAATACTGTTAAATTTAACACATCTAATGTTATTCAATAACTAAGCAAAGAATTTTTAAACAATAAACATTTTAAAAATAACCTGTTTTTTTATTTTTTGGTATAGGAACTTACAATTACCACAAGAAACATAAACAAGTATTAATTAAATTGCAGCACTTGCGCAATGGGTGCGTTTGGCAGAAAAAAGCGCTAGCAAGCGCTTATAAGCGCTAAAATAGTTTTCGGCCAGGACACGATTGCTACTTCAGTAGCGCTGACACAATCTGCCATTTTGCTTATTTAATTTGTTTGTTTTGAAGTAGAGTTTATAAGTTGTTTTGTGCAATATTAGTTTTACGTAATATAATGACATGAATAAACATATACATGCTATTAAAAACTCATGATTGGTAAGTTTTTAATATGAATACTTTACAAACATATATTTAAATTAGGTTAGATTCCCCGGTTAAAACTAACATCGTGTCCTGGAGGAAAATAGCTACTTACGATTTGACAGCGCTTACCGCTTACGATCGCCATTTTGCTTACAAGCGCTTGCTAGCGCTTTTTTCTGCCAAACGCACCCATTGTAATTAGTGGTTGTATATAAAATAAAAATATTAAAGTGCAAAAAAAGGGCGAGCCCAAAGCACCAATATTTTAACGCCATCTATTAGGCAAAACAAGAACTTTAACTAAAATTAAATTTGAGTCGCACATCTATCACCTGTACGCTCTGACAGCGCGCGACATGTTATACCGGCATGTTAATAAAACTTACAAGATTTCTTGTTGAATGTATAAACTATCGAATAAAATTATTTGCTAGAAATTGTAATAAAATACATAAATTACCCTGTATAGCATAGTAGTAGTAAATACTTCAATTTTAGTGACAAAATTACAACTAATTCGAATTCTACACTTTTGTTTTTGGAGAAATTTATATGAAAATGTTTGGAAATATGTATATTTTTATGTTTTATGTGTTTCTATTCGTTACTCATACCAAAATATTACAATATTAAAAAAATTAAAAAAAAGAAATAATAATATTTTATCTGTATGATATTTCAAACAATATTTCAAAAATATTTTTGTGTGAATTTGAAATAAATACAACATCAAGTTATTTGAAATATGTAAGAAAACTATTTTTACTTACATTTTACACTAAAAATAAATGAGGATTTGAAAAATAACACATTTATGACCCAACCGCCAAAATGGGCCTTCCGGATTTTGAAGCACTTTTGGCAATTTACTTTTCACTTTTCACACCACAAATTATATATCTACGTGTTCACTATATTACAAGGAATATAAAAAAGTATAATACTTTCGTTTTTAGTCCAGACACAAATATAAAATTCTATAAAAAAGACGGAGCACCTTCATCAAAGCGACACGTGGAACGCCGAAAGTTCAGAGTGATTTCTTTTTTTTTTTCTAAGAAACATTGCCAGGTTATGGTTTAAAATAAAAGAGCATATCTTTGTCCTTGATACTATTATCTATTGCATAGTGTCTTTGGTTTTGTTTAAAACGAAAAAATAGTTTTTTCATAGGTACACAATTTTACATAATTCTGATCTAATTAGTGCTCTTCTGGAGCGAACGTAAGGTAGGTATTGTACGATCTAAAGTGCGCCCCGCTTGGCGAACCGGCTAGTATATATACAGTAATCTATGCCACTGACCTTTATATATACAAGTACGCATATATAGAGGTCAGTGCCACAAACTAATAAGGGTCATTCATCATAAGGGCGCCTTCACATTAGAGGCGTGAATAAGCGCTGCAGTGGCGCCACTGTGGTGCGCTAGGCGCGCCACTACTAGTTTTTATACAATTTCTAGAAGCGCAATCGCAGCGCCACTATCGTGACACACGCACGTCATTTTTGCGTAGGGAAGTGACACGCTTTTAATTATATTGAACCTCAATATGAATGTAGATCAACTTGACATTGAAGTGTTTATTGAGGAAGTTAAAAATCACCCTGCAATATGGGATAGCAGTTCTGAAAGTGATTCTAATCGGATTCATAAGAAGAATGCATGGGAGTCTTTGTGTAACAAATTTATTTAAAATTTCGAAATAAAATCTACTGCTGAAAAAAAAATCAAGCTGGTTAGTAATTTATATTTTTCTATCTTGATATGATAATTCGCCATCCGGGCTAGTAAAATAATCAGCTAACTTGTTTCGTATATCTAAAGCACTAATTTGTACTTGGTTATTTGAAATGTTACCAGCGTGGTATCTTGATAATGTTGAAATGTTACTGGTTTCTTGAATGTTTTTGTTTTAATTATATAATTATGTAAAATACAAATAGCTCGAACAATATTTTCCGCGAATATAATATTGACATTGAGTGGTCTATGCAATATTTTAAATTTATTGGCCATGATACCAAACGTGCATCATTATATGTTATTATATTGTCGTATCTTGGAATATACATTATAGTTATTTAGACAAAATAAAGGTGAGGAACGTTTTCTAATATGTGTTAAAGTATTTTTTAATCTTTTTTTTTGTAATAATATTAACAAGAGTAAAGCTTCTTCGTCGGAATCCATCGCGTAACTGACAAACACCACTACAATTTACCGGAGCACTACTGACGCGCGTCTACTGCGACACAGTCGCATCACTGTAGCGCTTGTTTTTGGTAGCACCACGGCAGCGCTTTCTTATGCCTCTAATTTGAAGGCGCCCTAAGAAGCTTGGATGACATAAATACACTAGCTAGTAAAAAGCTGTGAAATCCTTCATTTTATTTAGGAATTAATATTTTTTTTTGTATATAAATTTTTATATGTATTTTGTTTTTATTTTATATTATTTTTCGTGTATTCTTTTTGTCTTGATCTCTGATAACCTATTTGTTACAAATAAAAAAAGGTATGGAACCTATCGATTACGAAATTAAAGTATTCGCAAACTGTGTAAACCCAAATCAGTTTCGTAATTAGCTACCTAAAAATCAAAATATCAACCTATTATGTATGCATATTAATATCCGTTCTACCATAAAAACTTCTTGACGTAGTGTAATTAGGACTTAGTATTACAACCATTTAAAAAAAAACATGGTGCGGTGTAGTATTTTAGGGAGTAAAAGTGATAGTGGAACGAAAATGCCCGGGTTGCATTTTCATTCGTAAGTATACCACTCCTTACCGGTTACTAGGCATTCTGTAACATTTTATAAAAATAATATATTGTGTATAATGTACTCTAGACGTAAATTTATCGTTAAAAATCACAAAAATAACAATTGTAATGACTATTACCATAAAGATATTAATAGTTACATTGCAACCACCGCTCAATAAAATAAAATGATGTGTCTTACCTAGCTTTAAGACCACTTCCCGCCCACCCTCAATTGCGTGCAATAATCCCGTCACCACTACTCCCAACACCACTACTCCCAACACCGCTACTCCCAACACCACTACTCCCAACACTACTACTCTAGGAAAGACACACCATCGACTACAATAGTACACGTGTTTCGCCTCTACACGAGGCATCTTCAGGTGATGTAGAATCTACGGTGGCTGACTGCTAAGTGAGCGGCAAGCCAACAGTCAAAACAGCTGCTCTTTATACATGCTGACACAGCCACTCCCCGCTAAAGTAGCGTGCAACCGCGTCGTGCGATAAATACCTGTGGCTAATTATCATTATTATTATTTACCATTCCCATTATTACTATTTATTACTATGGGGGTGTCAATATAGTTTTCTCATCTGGTTGGGTTCTATAAATATATAATTATAAATGGAAATGAAAAGATAAATATACATAAATATCAATAAAATTAAATAAATATAAAAATACATAAATAAATAAAAGCCCAACCAGATGGAGGCCCTCGGCAGGGGAGACCAAACGGCCGAGGGTTAGGGGGAAAGGGAAAGAAACCGGCGAACGATGCGGGCGGTATCGAGGAGCACCGCCTTCTGCATTTGAGCCTGGAGCAGTCTGTGACGGAGTCCCAACCACCTCAGATGACCCGAGAGACTGACTGGTATTAGCCCATTTGCAGAAACGACCACAGAAATAATTTCGGTCGGCAGACCACCCCACATGTCGGTCACCTCGTGAGCCAGGTCCAGATATTTTGCTCGCTTATCTGTTTCGGATGTCACGTGGTTCTCGTCATACGGAACGGTAATGTCGATCAAAAATATTCTTGACTGTGCCCGGTTCATCAGCACAATATCAGGCTTATTCCCAAGAATAGTCCTGTCCGTGATGATGGCCCGGTCTCAGTAGAGCCTGGCGCGGTCATTTTCGATCACGGCTTCCGGCAAGTACTTGTAATACGATGATGTTTTCAGAGTTAGAAAGCACTGAACAACCGGAGATGACATGCTTAAGTGACTCACCGCCATGGCGACAAGCTCGACAGACGTCGACGGAGCCATCTTTTAGGATGTATCTCCGATATTTGTTGGTATATAACGGGAGCGACTGGAGGCGAATAACTTGAGGTCATCCATATAGAAAAGGTGGGTCACTTTTGTCCCTCCTTTCCGTTGCTGAAATCCCCTCCCGGAGCTCTCCAGTAAGCTACTGAGAGGGTTCAGAGAGTGGCAGAACCAGATTGGACTCAGACAATCGCCCTGGAAGATACCCCTTCTTATCCTTATGTGGTTCTCCGCAGCCATCATCCGCTCGCCCAGATGACAAGGGATCGTACTCTACTACCCCATACACTGCTCGAGGAAGTCTCTAACTGTACAGTCTATCTTGTACAGCTCGAGGACTCTCTTTAGCCATGTATGGGGCACCGAGTCGAATGCCTTTCTGTAATCTATCCAGGCGGCGGAGAAGTTTCGACGGTTGCGTTTCATCACTTTGCCAATGACCGTGTCAATGAGGAGTGGTTCCTTGGTTGCACAACCACCGCCCCGACATCCAGTTTGAGCGCGCGACATCACCTGATTTGAGTCCAGGTGACGTGTGATTCTCGCACTCAAAATGGATGTTAGTGTCTTGTATATGGTCGGTAGACACGTGATGGGGCCGTATTTGCTCGGGTCTGTGGTACCCTGATCTTTAGGAACCAAATGGGTGATCCCTTTGATTGAATTGAAACTGTCGAGCGAGCACAGTGTGACACACCACGAACCCCTTCAGCAAGTAGTGATGCAGACCGTCGAGTCCCGGACTTTTCCAGTTCGGGGCCCTACGGACCGCCTCAGCTACGTCATCCGGTGTTATAATGACGGGGTTCATGGGCATTATACTCGCGCACCGATTCGCCACAAATTCCGTCCAAAGGCCCTCGCTGTGGTTTACGGGCTCTGACCACAGGCCGCGCCAGAATGCTACAGTGTCAGCCTGATTCGGTGCTGGGCCCGTTCCACTTACCATTGGTCGCTCCAATGATTCATAGAGCCTCTTATGATCACTCTGGAAGAGACGATTCTGGTTGAACCGTGTCGACTTCTCGGTATATCGCCGAATCCGCTTTCCCCAAGCAGCGATTCTCTGCTTCAGATCATCTATGTGCTCCGTCAGTTTTTGCGTTATATCCGGCTGGGACAAACTGACATTTGTCCCAGCAAAAGCTATCCTGATGGTGCGCACAATTCTTGGCCTGTTATTGCCTGATCTGAAGCATATCAGTCTGCCGATGAGAGCTCTAGCCTTTGCGATACGTTCCTCAATTCTTCTTCTCCATGCTGGGATAGCGCTACTTTGGCCAGTAGCGCGTCCAGCCGTGGAAATCTTGGCGCCTATGATACGGCAGACTGCCAGCGCGGCACCAAAAAGAATTGAGTCCGTCTCGGAAAGGTCCCGGCTGGCTTCCAAACTGGTCACCAGCATTGGGTTCAGAGCCCTCACGACAGCCCGATTCCGCTTGCTTAGGGATATGCGGGAAAGTCACGGTCGGTTTTCGAGAGGCGTACTGCGCGTTTCCACAATCGCCTCTTCCAATGTACTCCTCATATGCTCTAATTCCAGTTCCTGGGCGACTGTTCCATCATCGTTTGAATCAACCACAACTGGGGTATTCACGGCGGCATCCACGTTTGCGGGTTGCTCTACAATTTGTGGCGCCGCATCCTCAGCCGTAGCATTTTCATCCGATGAGGGAACAGCCTCACGTCGTAGCCGTTCGAGTTCGGCGACATCAAATATATTTGAGTGCAGGATATACCGAACTCGGTCTGCCAGGTTTTGCTCTGTGACGGTTGTAGATGGCTCCAGCTCAGCAAAAAGACGATGCATCCTAGCCCGATACGCCAAACATCCAATTTCTTCCCCTTTTGCCCTAAAGTACGCCCGCAGTGCGTTTACGTTCATTGTTTGTGACCAACGCATGCGACGTGCTCCTCCAGCGGCGGGTGCCGCTTGCTGAGTCCGAGAAGACCCAGCCGACACCAAGTCTTCTGGTTGGGATGATGGATGCGGAGGGCTGCTAGGTGACCGTGCAGCTCCTCGCACTCGGCTGGCAGGCCCGCATGCTGCCGCGTCCAGCGCCAGCTCCAGACACGCCCCGGCGATCCCCAGACAGCGGACCTATGCGCGTTCCTCTTTGTACCATCATCCATTTTATGGGCGCCAAATAACGGGAGACGCCCAAGCCCGGCACCGTTTCTTGGTTTGGTCATATGCACAAACGGACCTTTGCACCCACAATTTTGGCTAGGCACGGCGCTCACACCTCTTGGCAGGGTGCTGACTGACTGCGCCGACGTAGCAGTTTTGTCACATAACTGTTACGTCAGCGGGCGATGGGGTCGTCACTTCCCTACGCCTCAATTTATTATTATTATTATTAAATATTATTAGAGATTAGGTTTAAAGATATTTAACAAACGTGAATTAGAAACATTTGTTTGTTCATTCAGCAGTGCAATGTTCCCACTTTTTTAATCTCTAACTGTTCCAGCACACACAGTTTATTACAAGTATGTAAGACTTTAAAGGAGTGGTCGCTGGCTAGGTTGTGCCAGTGTCAAAGAGATGTTTAGCAAAATGGGATTTATCAGGATTGCAAATTCTGTACGCGGCTAAATGCTCTTTATAGCGTGTCCCGAAATTGCGACCAGTCTGACCCATAGAGTAATTAGACTTAGAGTGATAGTGTCATTCAAATTTCCGTTCAAAGTTGAAGCAACAACGCAATGAATGTGTGCTTAAGCGGCCTATAATTACGTTCGCCCATACGCACACAAGCAATTGAGTAATGTTTGCAAGTAAATGATGTTTTCCTCAAAAAATGGGGAAATTGTAATAGTAGACATAATCATAGAATTAATATTTAGGTTACGCTTATAATTCATAGAATTATTTGTTAATTATTTGCCAAGAGAAAAATGTAAAATTACTTATATTCGTTAACTTATTTTTTATTTAAATAATTTACATACGTAGTATCTTGTGCTACAACATAATAAAATGGCATAATATAAATCTATTATGCCGTTTTATTATTCTGTTATAAGTGATATATTTATATAGGTAAGTGTAAATGTAGTATTATATATTTATATAAATATATAATATACTTTATTGAATAGGTGTTTTCTATTAAAACGAAATAAGATTCGGAAGGAGAAATAAAAAAATATTTATTAAATAACTATATACCCAAGCATTTAAATAATAAATAAAAATACCTTATGCGTAAATATTGTTGGTATTTTTATTTGCCAAATAAAAATACAACAATAATAGTCCCATATTGGCAGCATAATAAGAAAATTTGGGGTAAAATATTTTACTATGCCTAGCAACATTTTCATTATATTAGTGTCTGTCAAATTTACGATTTAATATTTTGTTTTGATAAATGTTTTCTACAAAAATATAAGATGCTAGGCAGTATTGACCCGTGACATGAGCTTTGTAATTTTTTTTCATTATTATTTGATGAGTTGTGACACCCTTTCACAGCACAGTACGTCATTTTTTTGCAAAATTGCGCGAGCTCTTTACACGACTACGTGGACTGGAGTACTAACGCGCCAAAAGTCGTACGTAGCCTTAAAAGGCTAACATAAAATGGCTTCACTTTCTGTGCACCTACTGCGGTTCTAAGCCTAATATTTCTATGGTCTGACCCATGTAAACGGCGTGGCATTCGTCACAAATAAGTTTATAAAACCCGATTTTTTATTAATCAACTTATCTTTATTATTACAAATATTCCTAAGGGAATTGTTTGTTTTGAATGCTACGTTAACGCCGTTTTACCTAAGAGTATTAGCTATTTTTCTGATATGGAGCCTGAGTAAGTCAAACTGCTCACATATAGCCGGACACTTTGAAGGTTTGTGGTTGAACCGCGTCCAGAAAATTGCGAACGACATGCTTTTGTTTCTTTTTAATAAGATTATTAATGAGTTAGCTTATTAACCGTTAGAGAATGCAATTTGATAAATTAAATTCAGCTCTTTAAATAATTTTCTTTTCTTAATGGAACAGTGAATAATAATAATAGATTTATTCACAAGAAATATGGTACAAAGATGTTCTTATAAAATAATAATGTTTCTCATATTTCACCAATTTTGGTAAATGAAAACTTATAGTTAGTTATACAAAATTTAAGTAAAATTAAACGTGCATCAGTTTACAATTTTAATACTAATCCTTTAAAACACGATCAAATAAGAAACAGCGTTTAACAATCAATAGAAACGTTCTTTTATTTTTAGCAGTTCATTTACCGAATAAAATTGTTTATCCAAAAGCCACTTTAATATATTACATCTGAATCGATTATAATCTAATTGCCTTATCTCATTTGGGATTTTATTAAACACTTGATTAGCCATCACATAGCAATTTTTTGAGTACAGGCTAGTTTTTAATGAAGGTAAAATAATTTTATCTGGATATCTGGTACTATATGTTATAATCTTTATCTTTTAATCTAATTAAAAAAAATGAGGATACTTTTTTTACGAATATTGAAAGTTCAAAAATGTACATGGATGGTAGAGTAAGAACACCCAATTCTTTAAATAGTGGATACATTAGTCGAGTTTCCGCATAATATGAGACCATATCTTAATACAGCAGCGACATATGCATGATATGCTATAAGAGAAGTGTTTCTTGACGAGATTGAAGTTAGATTTCTCAGAGCAAAATTAAATTTAAATATTTTAGAACAAACTTTATCTATGTGTTTTTCCAATTACAATATTTGTCTAAACTAATACCTAAAAATGTGGTACATTCAGTAGCAGTAATTTTTTCACCATTATACTTAATATCAAGTAATTGCGGTTTACTTTTAACATTGAAGAATTGCATAAATTTAGTTTTACATAGATTTATACTTAGATTATTGTTTTTTATCCATTTAACAACATTTACAATAGTATTATTTATTTCATTTTCATATTCTTTATTACTAGAATTAAAATTTATTTTCGGTATTAAAATAGAAATGTCGTCAGCAAATAATATTGTAATAGGTTTGATGTGATTTTGTAGGTCATTTATGTAAATTAAAAACAGTAAAGGACCTAAAACACTCCCTTGTCACTCCGTAATCATTTGGTAAGCACGAAGTTTTAAATTTTAAAATTTCTTGCAGTTTTTTATCTTTTTGTTGTATTTCAACACATTGTTTTCTATCTTTTAGATAGCTAGGTATCCAGGAGTAAGGTGGCCTTCTTATACCATAAGCTACAATTTTTTTAAGAGAATATCATGACTAACACTATCAAATGCTTTGCTCATATCAAAGTATACTGCAGAAATTGGTATTTTTCTGTTTATATAATCGGTTACGATTTTTATACGGGAAAAAGTTGCCAGTGTCGTAGATTTACCTTTTTGAAAACCATGTTGCTCTGGTTTTAGTATGTTAAACTTATGACTGTGTGCTCGTTTTTCACCCTTTTCCTGTAAAAAATAAACTAATCTGTTATAGTGTTTGTCCCCTCAATGCAAAACAGAACAAACACTGTGTTGTATAAAATCAATGATTACCTGAACGATAGTTTTAAAAGCGAAGGCTTGACAATGTTAACAAATTCCGTTAAAAAAAGGTTTATCAATAATACTTTTATATGAATGCCTTTATTAAGTAATTAAAGGTAGTACAAATTATCACTACTTTGTTACCGTACTTTGATAACATTACCGAGTGAAATGTATCCTTACTTTATTAACCACATGTGCGCGTAAGTAGCGCGCTTATTGAAACATTTCAATTATTAAACAGTTAAATTTATTTTACAGTTTAGTGGCAGGTTAATTAAATCATAATGTTACTTGTTTTTATCACGTTGTTTTTGTTTGGCATTAGTAGTGAAATTGTGTGTAATATTGCCACCATTTTAGAATGTGCGTGGATTCAAATCTGCGCAAGTCAAAATATACAGGATCGCCCTAGAACGTCTTATTGACGCACACTACAAGGTTCTCTCTGTGTGCGTGACTACGTGAGCATTAAGTACTCGCACCAATAATTTTGATACTATTATTTTTTATTTCATTCTGTGTATGTATTATAATTTCGTCGTTAAAAATAAAAACAAAGTCGAAGTTTCATAATTTTTGAATTTTTGGCACTTTGATTAATATTCCTGATCATAGTGCTGCATATTAATCAGTGTAAGCCTCACTTTTATGCATGATGTCCGAAAATTAGATTATTTATTATTGACCGTAATGTTACTTACAAAAACAGAAAAGGCGAGACCCAATTGCAAATTATAATTCCGGTTCCGGGTTCCGCTTGCTACTAAATTTAGGTACTACTCATAATATAGTATGTTAAAGCAGAGTAGAGTACTTTGTTTATAGTTTATTTTAATTTTGTTTTCTATTCTCAATCTTGTTTCGGTCTTTTTAGTGTATTACTTTTGTAAGTACTAAACTAGTGTTTTAGTTGTGGCCAACTCATCTTCCAGCACTAGGAATTTAATGACTACCGAAATAACCTTAAAACCAAGTTCCTAAAAATTCATTTAGTAGGCTTCAATCAAATCCAAAATAAAAGGATATCTAAGATGTTTATCTATTACTAACCTAGTATCGCTTATTGTAGCGGCGCTGTCATGGCGCCACAAGCGAAACGCATCGAAGCCTAAAATCGCTCTATAAAGTTCCGAAGTAATCGGTAAAAAAACAACACAAGGAGGGCCTTCCGGGCAGAACTCCTTGCCCCGCGGGAGATCTGCGCTTTTCCTTCCATGGCCACATATGTTGTTTGTTATCATAATGTAGAAAACTTTTCTTTTTACTTCACAACTATGGAGCCA